ACTCTCTGTGGACCCTCTGGTCCTAACTCTATGGACCCAAATATCCTAACTCTGATAACTCAGAATCATGCATATCACATATCACAATAAATCTCAGAAAATAAATAGCATACAATTACACTGGCACATAACTCTAAACCTAACTCTGTAGATCCTCTGGTCATAGCTCTGTGGATCTTCCGGTCCTAACTCTGATATACACATAGCATAAATCACATATAAATAATGCAGTGCCACACATAGCATAGATAGTATACAAAAACTCTGTCACATAACTCTATTACCACTTTAGGTAAAGTATAGTGAGAAGACTCACCTGCTACTGCCGACTGAAGAACAAGATCACGCTGCTCCGACCACTGTCACGAACTCCACCACTGAATCATCGAAACCAATAAATACCAATAACAACCAAAATACCCCTGGAAGTCAACTGGTCAACTCTTGGTCAAAGTCAAAGTCCTCAGTCAAAGCCAACCCTCCTGACTGACTCTACTCGCTGAGTCAACCCGCTGACTCGTCGAGTCCCTATGCTCTGAAACTCCCATAACACGACTCAACTTGCTGAGTCGCCCCAAGACTCGTCGAGTCCGACAACTCTGAGTCAAACCGTACTCAACTCACTGAGTCATCCGTTGACTCACCGATTCTCAGCTTAACCAGAAAAGGTTAGGAGCTCAAGAATAGACTCTCCGACTCCAAGAACAGACTCGCCGAGTCCAAGGTTATCTTCAACCAACTCGCCGAGTTGTTCTTCCAACTCGTCGAGTTTCTTCCTATCTTCATGCAACTCGCCGAGTACACCCATGTGACTCGTCGAGTACCACTAGATCTTAACCCATACAGAGGCTTTCCAAGCCATGCAGAGCCTCTAATCCATAGATCTACTCTTATAAAGCCATCCATCACGTAAAGTGGCAAAGTCTACGTGAATCCAAGGAGATCTAAGCATAATACACTCTTGGGCTAAGTTTTGGGCCTAAAAGACTTCATCAACAGCTCTTGAACAGGGACTTTATGCTCTTTTGAATCATCATTATTCTAGATCTGTGGTAGCAACCTTAGATCTAACCACCAAACTCAAGATAACACTATATACACACACCCAAAAATCCCATAAATGATAGATCTAGATGGATAACAGCTCAAGCAATGAATCATTACCTCAAATGAAGGCTCCAACAGAAGAATAAGTCAAAACCTTGAAAAGCCCCTAGCTCTAAGCCTCTTAATCTTCAAAGATCTTTTCAACAAACACTCCTTCAAGATCCAAATGTTCTCTAATTCTCTCACAACGAATATTAGGGTTTTTGGACTTCAAGGGAGAGAAACGAGGCTAAGGAGAGGGTATTATGTTCTTTATATAGGGTCAAATCCCTGGGATTGGGGTTTTTTCCACACAGCACCAACTCGCCGAGTCCAGCCACCGACTCGCCGAGTTGGCCACTAGACACGCCACCAGAATCGCGACCCTACTCGCCGAGTCTACCCATGGACTCGCCGAGTTGATCATTCACATTTTCACTTTAAACACTGAACTTTGCACCCCTGAACTCGGAT